ATTCTTTTTTTTTTTAGAATGCCCATTCTTTACAAGGTTAACCATCATGGTTATGATCCATATAGTTCATAAAGCACAGTAAAGATCTTTGTGGTGGTCTGAGCTTTCAGCCAAGATTCAGCTGACATCAGCTTGAATTTAAAAACATGACTTTTTTTTTAACCATAATAAATGCTTCTGTGTCCACTCTTTCTCTGAACTGTGCACAGGGTACACAGGGAAACTCCTGGATGATCCCAAATATGATGGATGACAAGAATAATTTTAAAAACCTCTGCTTTTATTCGTATATATTATCTGGTGCAGTCCATTACCTTACTGCACCAAAAACAATCACGGTCTAAAATTTGGGTAGAAGATATTTTATTGTTGCCACATAAATCCACCCGACGTCAGCCTTAAATGGGTGCCCTAAGACGGGCTAGGAAGAAAACCTGACCTTCTGCTTCCCAGAATGAGCCAGTGAAGACCTAATGGGTTGAGCAACAGAGTATTGCCACCATCGAGCTGGGCAATGAACCCCCTGGGCGGAAGGCACCAAGACTGCGCAGTGGCTGTAGCAGTGAACGGACTTTAGCATAGCAATGACCTCAAAGACAGGAGCATTTTATGCTGTCCTGTGTGGCATTGCTGTGAGTTAGAGCCAAGTCAAGAGCATATCCCAGTGGCTTTCAGAAACCCACTGCCATCAAGACAATTCTGACGCATAGCGACCCTGTAGGGCAGAAACCCACAGCCGGGCCTGCGGGTTTCTGATGCGGTAACTCTATGAGGGGAGAAAGCCTTGACTTGCTCCTGAGGAACAACTGACCTTGAAGATTCCCTGGGGACCAACCACATCTCAGTAGGAGGGTTTAGATAAAGGCCCCTGGATCAGAGACCTCATTTTATTTCTCCTAGCCTGAGCCTGTAGTGTTTCAAAGGCTGGGGCCTTTCCTGTCCTCTGTGGTAAATAAAGATGGCAACGAGTAATCTCATGTCAACAAGTAATCTTACTGAGGCATCAACTAAGTCCACAAGGAAGAAGCACACCAACCTATGTGACCCAAGGATCTCAATAACACAACAAAATCTAAGTCCAAAGGAGGGGATGGTATCAGAGCGTAAGTTGTGAACACCTGGTTTGCAGAAGGCTACGGATGACAGTGAAAGCCCAGAATCTATTGACAAGGTTCTCCGTATAGATCAAGTCTCCGGTGAGTTCCCTCTGAATATAGTCCAGGGATGTAAATAGCCTTGCTTTCAGACATTGGAAAATCTATCGTGGCAGATTTAGTTAGGTTAGCATGTAATATTTCATCTCTCTTTAGAGTTGTTTCCGTTTTGAATATTTTCTGCCTTCTTTTTGATGGAGATTTTTCTGTTTCATCTAGTCATTGTTGTGGGGTTCTTTTTGTTTGCTTCTTAAGCCAAGAAATTTGGAAGACATCTACTTGGTCAACTGATTGGAAGAGATCCATATATTCCAAAGAAAAATGACCCAGTGAAATGTGTAAATTATTGAATACTAGCTTTAACATTACATGCAAGTAAAATCATGCTGAAGATAATTTTTTTTAATGGTTGCAGTGGTACATTGACAGGTAGTAACCAGCAATTTAAACTGGATTCAGAAGGCAATGCCTATCAGGACTAAGGGCCAGTAACTGTTATGATGAATCTTGTATTACCCTTATAGCTAATGACTTAAGCTAATTTTAAGATTGTTAGATTGTTTGATGTGTGTTTGAAGTGAATAAACCGAGGATTCGAAAATGTCAAAACAACAACAAAGGAATGAGGAAATATCATTGCGGATGTCAGATGGATTTTGACTGAAAGAGAATACCAGAAAAGTGTTTGCTTATGTTTTACTGACTCTGCAAAATCATTCATATTGTGTGGTTCATAAACATGATCAATAACATTTCAAAGAATGGGAATTCCAGAACACTTCACTGCGCTCCTGTGGAGTCGCTACGTGGATCCAGAGGCAGTCACTGGAAGAGGAAAAGGGAATTCTGCATGGTTTAAAATCAGGAAAGGCAGGTGTCCGTGTAGGGTCCGCTCACCGTGACCACATTCATCCGGTCTGTATGCTGAGCAAATCAAGGAG